AGAACTTTCGTCTGTGGTAGGGCAGAATCTGGGTTGTTTAATGAAAGTCGTCCAATCCGGTTTACTGAGATTTGTGAACAGTTAGGGGCTATAAAATAAGGCAACGCCATTTTATGTTGAGTTCCATGTTAACCTCAGCTCCAGTACATCCGAGGTCCTAAGGATTTCCATCGTCATCATTAAGAAGTTACAGGCTGGCCAGCTGTACTTCCTACTTTGAGCTGAACTGTCGAGCTGGAGATTTCCGTCGTTTGAACCAACTAGATGACGTTCCTTCAAAATAAGAGTGAACTTGTTGACGCCTGCCGATGCTACCTGAGTCGACCCTTCAGACGGGCGTTGTGTGCTGTGACCGCTGTTTCAACCAGCTCCAGTACCTCTGAAGGTCCGAGGACCTGGCATTTCCTGATCTAACACGGGAGACTCCATGGGTACGTAGTCACGGCACAAAATGGCGCTCATGTCATCAGCTTCTGAAGCCTCGTGGTCCCTAGTCATAACAACCAGATTCGCTACGTCAGCCTAGAGATCCTGAACCCACACACACACACACACCAACACGATAACATTCAGATCCATATGCATTCATCATTGAGATAGTCCTGGTAGATTGTAAGAATTTATAATTGTAGAAATTAAAGATTCTTAAACGATCCCAACTCTCTCTTTTCTTGTCTCTCAGTCAATACAGAGTGTTTAAGTAAACTCCCTGATGATAAAAACAACCACTTCTGATTAATTACTTAGATCTAATTACAGTGTATAAATGTACAAAATCAGATCATTACATTATCTAATTACAGTGTATAAATATACAACTTCAGATCATTACACCGGTCTGCAGATTTCAACCCCAGAAAAAAATCTTTGGACGGAGTTGAAAGTTCGTGTTGCCCAGCCACAGCCCCAAAACGTCACTGCTCTGGAGGAGATCTGCATGAAGGAATGGGCCAAAATACCAGCAACAGTGTGTGAAAACCTTTTGAGGACTTACAGAAAACGTTTGACGTCTGTTCTTGCCTACAGGGTACATAAAGTATTGAGATGGAATTTTGTTATTGACCAAATACTTATTTCCCACCATAATTTGAAAATAAATTCTTAAAAAATCAGACAATGTGATTTTCTTTTCTAACATTCTGTCCCTCACATTTGAAAAGCACCTATGTTGAAAATTACAGCATATCGGGACTTCATTTGAGTCAAAAGGATGTAGAGCGTTGAATGTTTGTACACTCCAGGCAGCTGCATCCTGAGCACGGCCATAGTAAAATTCTCAAAGTAGCGCCACCAGAAATATATAATTAACACGGGAATGTTCATGCCTGCTCATACTCTGGTAGTTTCTATCTTTTATAGGTGCCTGACGCCATGCACCCAGGGTCCAGCGAGTTACCTCTCTGGCGCGGCTGCTCAGTGTGCACTCTGCTATTTTTGTGGTGGGTAGATCTCGTTGATCTGCTTAGTTGAAAAGTAACTCATGAGGTTAAAAAGTAAGAAACCAGGAAGTAGTTTTTTCTGGAGGATTGAGAGGAGATGCAGGAATATCAGAGACAGACAGGACAGTAAAACAGTTAAATAAAAAACAAAAAAACTAAACTCAGTGCTTGAAAAGGAAAAGGAAGTTAGATGTACAGGGTTTAATTAGAACGCAATCATTTATAAGCATGTAATATTTATATATTTGATTCAAGTCAGATCACTTTCAAAAAACAGTCCCACACCCAGGGCTGTTTCAAGACTTTTTGGGGGCCAGGGCAGAACAGACTTCTTTGCAGAGCAACTGTGAGTTTAAAGAAGATAAGTTTATGGTGGTCATGTGACCCTCAAGTCTTTTTTTTAAGCGTGTCCTGTCCTGGCAGGAGAAGCATACAGAATGGTTGATCCGAGTACCGTAACAAGCCAGAGCAGTTTTACTCCACAGCAGAAGGAATGTGGGAAATTCCTCCTGTGCAGAAGCCTTTATTATGTATGTGGCATGTTAGGCTGCATTCACTTACGCACCAGAGTGGACAGGCAGGAAGAAAAGAGACTCACGACATAAACAGGGTGAGGGAATGGAGGGACAACAGACAACAAACACCGGCAGGACAAGACAGTGGGGTCATCATAAAAAAGAAAGAAAATACTCTACCAGAATAAAAAAGATAGAAACTGTTAGATATTTTTGAAAACATTTGCAAAGTCAAAAATTTACCACTCAGAAATATTTTTCAAGACAACTCAACTTTATTACCTTTGTCATCACAAAGGTAAACAAGTCCCAGTGGCGCAAAAAGTGGGTATGCAGTGTATGCGACGCATGGGGGCGCCAGGTTGGAGGGGGTGCCATAGCGATGATGCAAAAATATTTTAGCCTGCATTTCCTGTGTTTAATAACAGACGTGTTTTTGTCCGTTTGTGTATCTGCAACATTTAATTAATAACAGAGAAGCATATGTGATTAGGCGCCCCTCTGTGCCTTAACACCCCCCTTCCTACACACACACACATACACACACAGCGCACACGCCCCCTCGACACGCTGCGGTTGAAGAGGATGGTTTTAAGCAGGAGTCACAGAACCAAGTTGTGTGTTTGTTTATGAAAACTTTGTAGAATAAAGTCGCATTAATAAGCGCCAACGGAGCCTAGCTCTGGTGTCACAATGAGAGTGACGAGCAGCTCATGTCTAACGGGGATGAGGGAGGTAACCAGGACTAGACTGGGGAAATTCCTGATGAGCTGGTCTGGTTGGTGTTTTTAGTCGTCTTTGTGGGTTGGTTTTTTTTGGCCGGTGTTCAGTCATGTCTCTGTAGATCACCAGATACTGATGAGAGGAAGTGTGGAAGGTACACAAAGCTTTAGTTCCTAAAAGCACTTTCTATGCTCAGACTGTAGTGACCTGTTATTTATAGTTTTATAATTTACATTAAGTTAATAAATACACTAAATCCACAGCACGTAGAAAACAAGATTACATTTTCTCCCACAGCTCAGCTCTGCTCCTCCTTGAACCGTCACCTTATCGTGGTAGAGGAGTTTGAGTGCCCTAATGATCCTAGAAGCTATGTTGTCTGGGACACTTTGTGCCCCTTGTAGGGTCTCCCATGACAAATTGGTCTTAGGTGAAGGATGAGACAAAGTACTACTCCTAACCCTAACCCTAAGCCGAAAGAACGAGATTGCAGATACAAGCGGCCGAAATGAGTTTCCTCCGTAGGGTGGCCTGGCTCAGCCTTAGAGATAGGGTGAGGAGCTCGGACATTCAGGAGGGACTCGGAGTAGAACCGCTGCTCCTCCGGATTGAAAAGAGTCAGTTGAGGTGGTTTGGGCATCTGGTCAGGATGCCTCCTGGACGCCTCCCCGGGGAGGTGTTTTGGGCATGTCCTGCCGGCAGGAGGCCCCCGGGTCGACCCAGTACACGTTGGAGAGGTTACATCTCCAATCTGATCCGGGAACGCCTTGGGGTCCTGCCGGAGGAACTGGTGGGGGTGGCCGGGGAGAGGACGGTCTGGAGCTCCCTAGTTGGGATGCTGCCCCCGCGACCCGGACCCGGATAAGCGGAGGAAGACGACGAGCTCAGCTCTGTTAAATAAGCAGATGTCTGCTTAAGCTGGACAACATCAAATATAAAAAAGTGTCCACTGATATGTAATCTTTTATTGAAAAAAATTTACAAAATGTTTAATTTTTATAATTTTTTTATTCAATTTCTAAGGTTTTGATGTCTGTGAACATTACACATACAAACTCTGCCCTGGGCCCAAAAACCTGCAGATATTTTTAGTTTCTATAAACATCAAAAACAAATAAAAAACAGCAGCTGGACTCTGTTTTGTTCCTTAAATTGAGTCATGTAGTTTAGCAAGTTCTGCACACTCACACGTTCAACAGCATCTTTGCCAGCTGCATCAGTGGATTTCGCTGTAGTCGGTGTTCATAATGGGTTGGACAGGACAGGATATATAATCAATCAAAGATAATACTATAATGCCATAGATACTTTATTATACATTCCTATCAGCCTTCAAGTCAACCTTTTCTTCTCAAAATGCACCAGACTGATGCTTTTAAATATAAAATATCCAAAATTTTTTGACTCATTCACTGCCATTGACTACAAAAGTTGTCATTTTAAATCCAACCGCCAATTTTGTGTCAGCATACACCTCCAAAAGTAGGTAGTTGCTGCCCCTGATGAGTCCCAGCGTTCACCCAAAACCTGTCAGGCTGATGACCATATTCAAATAAATAAATAAATAAAATATGTCTGCATTTTTTTGGACAAACAGGCCCATTCAACAGGAAATGGAAAACAGAATTAATACAGATTATAAACCATAACATTGGTTTTGCATTGTAGTTAAAATTGTTTAGACATACTGTATAACAAAATATAACAGTAAAGACTGTTAGATAAATAGCATCTATGTATTATTTACAATATATACTTTGTGTACACAATATATACAAAGATGTAAGAAAAACATTTTTGACAACACAGCATTTTAGTTTCAGAAGTGAAACCCTTCTGTTCACACTGGTAGTAGCTGAGCGGTTCATTTTCACCATGAGAAAGATTATTTTAGCCCTTTTGAACACATCTGCAATTCTGCAACATCTTTTTCTTTTGTTAGCACTCAATTCTTCTCAAATACAGTTTAGCTTCATATGTGTAAACCGATAGTAATGCGCTTTACTACACAACCATACCATACCACCTCTACTTGTATGCACACACACTGTGGGTGTCCTTCACACGCTGGTGATGATCAGCTACAATGTAGCTACAGCTGCCCAGGGTTGCACTGAAGGAGGTGAGGCTGCAGACCACTGGCGCCACCCGTCCCTCCGTCCACCGTTAGCAGGCAAGGTGGGTAAAGTGTCTTGCTCAAGGACACAACAACAGCCACAGACTGAGTGAGGCTCGAACTTACAACCCTGTTGTTACGGGGCGGACACTTAACCCCTTTTCCATCATTGCCCATCCTATTTGAGATGCTTTACTATTAACATCAACAACCATTTTGGCCTCATCGTGTCTACTATTGAAATGTGTACAGTAGAAATGGTAAAACCATGAAACTTTGATACTTTGCTCAAGGTTTTCATACTATCAGATGTATACTAGCTTAAGTGCAACCACACTCACATCAGATGAAACCAGGTTATCTGCTGTTAGACCAATTGTCTTTTGCATCACAACCAAATGGAAGGATGTTTAAGTCATTAGACACATGTGGGATTAGGTTTTTATCCCAAGTCTGGTCCATCGTTCATTTTAAAAACAAAATGTGTCTAGATGAAACAAGCAAGCAATCTGGTGGATCTTTATATCCAGACCTACAAGGGAGTGATAATAGGAAGCACTGTATTAGAGTGTTTGTTCAGAGAGCAGATGTTTTTATCCAATAAGCATGCTTTTGGTCTGGTCTTGTTTAGTTTGTGTTTAACCTCTGTAGAGCTCAGGTTTTAGTTGACCTCATTAAGTGGGAATGAAGCAGCTTGGTTGTGTATGGGACCTCCGGCATGATGTACCTCAGGCAGCGCTCCTTTGCCTCCTGGCTGATATTTGATGGGAGGTCGTAACCAACTATGCTGACGTTTTCACTGGGCTGCCAGGGGTGGAGTTCCTTGTTCTTGATCTCAGAAGCTGGCAGCTGCCCACCAGAACAGTTCTTCAATAGCCTCTCTTGGGCGTGTCGAAGAAGGTTCACCTCATTCGCTACAAAATCTAGACCCAGTTCTGACAGTTTCACCCACAATGAGGCATTAAAGTAGTCATAAAGGCGGGCATCTATGGAATTCCAGGCACGGATCTTTTCAGGAAGACCCGGTGAAAGACTCTTCTTAGAACTTTCCATCCGCATATTAAGTTTAACATACAGAATTTCCTCCAAATCCCAAGAGAGGAGATGACGAAGAAGAACTAGAGATTCATCAAAATACTCAGAAATCATCACCAAGGAGAAAACTCTCTCCACCTTGGCCACAAAGGCTTGTGCATAAGCCGCATCTGATGCTGGCCTGTCTTTGTCTCCGCCCAGGTCAAAGGTCAAAGTGTTACGTGCGTACATGGCATTATCCTCTCCTGGTCGATAGTACCGTAAGGGGTCTGCTAGGAAAGCCTCTAGAGAGCCATTAGGGACCCTCCTGAAGGCCTCACTTATATTACTGTAGTAAGTAAACAAAGACTCAAACATGGACGCGGGCTCTCTCAGGATAGTGATGTATATGGTAGTGTTTGACATCAGGTTATGCAGTGCGCTCTCATTGAAGCGCATGTGATTGGCGATCATATTTGGTTGTTGCGTTTGTGGATGAACAAACTCAGTGGAGAAGAAGTGTGGGTAACAAAACTGGTGACCACAGTTTGGTTTAGGCAAAGCCATTGTCAGGTTGTTAAACTCAGCAAAACGAAACAGTATGTTCTGCATGGTGGAGCTGGCTGTCTTGTGGGTCTTGAGGAAGGCTACGTTGGTATGCTTAGGCTTCAGGTCTGGGGTGAGGCGAGAGCAAAGGATTGAGCCACCAAGATGGGCAGCCTCCATGGCCCTTAGGGCAGAGATAAAGGTAATTAATGTACATTGGGAGAGCTGTAGAAAAAGGTTCAATGTAAACAATACACAGGATCATTGTTAGAAGATGCTGGTAAAGACACGGTATGAGAAAGTAAAATGGATGAATAGTGAGTGCCAAAATGGCAGCGCGCTGCCTCTATAGTAGCATTCATTTACATTAAGAGGCTGACCTCTTTATTAGTGTCAGTAGGAAAGAAAACACCTAGTCACTCACCAGTTGAAGAGGAAGTTGTTGAAGACCACAAAACTGACAGCACAAATTAGGAGGACCACAAATTTCTTCTTCTGTAACATTTTGATGTTTTTTTAGACTGTGGAAGACAGAGAGGAGATCGTTAGATGAGTGAGGAAAACATGTTAAGAAAAGAGCACAAAAGTGGGCTGAAACTTGCGTGAATAACCTTCTATAGAAACTTTGTGATTGTGAAAAGAATGTGGAGGGAAAATGTGCACACCTTTACTAAACCCTTACCCTGGTGTAAGCACATTTTGGAGACAGAGAAACTGCCAGTACAGCTTGGCAAGGCAAGGCAACTTTATTTATAGAGGATATTTTCGATTTACACTCATCAGGATATGATATGAAAACAAATAAAAACACAAATGAAAATACACGCAGATAGAATTATAGTTTAGAGCTAAAGGAGAAGACAAAGTTACAGCGCAGATTACAGTGGAGATGACGCAACATAAGAAACAATTCATTTAAAAGGCTGGTGAGTATGTTGGGGGTTTTAGTTTTATTTTAAACAACACTAGGGTTGGGACACATCTGAGGTCATGGGGAAGCTGATTCCATATGTGAGCAGCATAGTAACAAAAAGCATCTCCACCGTGGTTTGTTCTGATCCGTGGTTCTGCCAGCTGATTGTTTCCAAGGGATCTCCGAGCCCTATTGGGTGTGTTAGTAGGAATGAGATCTGACATGCATTTTGGCCCCATGCCATTGAGTGATTTTTAAACTAGTAGGAGCACTTTGAAACCTATTCTGTAGTTTAATGGTAACCAGTGTGGAGATCTAAGAACAGGAGTGATGTGCAACACTCTCTTAGTTCTTGTTAAGACTCTAGCAGCAGCATTCTGAACTAGCTAGTGAGATGGAATTTACAGACTTGGGGACTTTTATGCACACATTCACAAAACACACACACACACATATATGCATGCATGTACTCTCTCACACACACACACACACACACATATATGCATGCATGTACTCTCTCACACACACACACACACACACACACACACACACACACACACACACACACACGCGCACACACACACACACACACACACACAAATGCACGCACATACACACTTGAACTACAACCATACAGTATAGATGGAGACGAAAGCCATTTTAATTATTATAAGTGAAGATACAATAACAGTTTAACTTTAACCCTTTGATGCATAATGGTCACTACAGTGGACATGTACTCAAAATTGTTATTTCTTTATTTTTGCTATTAAGCACAGCTGTTGAAGACTTTATTGCATGTGAGCCCCTCCATTTGGGCTTCAGTAAGTCAAGCCAACATATTTCATGTTCAGAATGCACGTTGTCCACTGAGATGGACATGCAATAAATTATTTGTAAATTAACAAAATGTTACAAAAAATATTTGTTGAAATTTGGTTCATTCACACCTAAAGATGAATGAAAACAATTGTTTAAAAAATCTTGGTTGAAGATTTCATAATTCATGCATCAGAGGGTTAAGTTAGAAGACCATCTGGCTCTCACGGTGTCTGCTGGAAAAAGAATTTAGTTGAGGACCCATGCTTATGGTTAAGCATTTGTTAATGCATTGTTTAATAGTTTACTAATACTTAATAATGCACTAAGCAGCATTAATAAAAGGATTCTTATTGTAAAGTGTTACCGCTTTGCATAAGTAAACTGAGCTTAAGTAGACTTAAGCTTAAGGATTCTGTGCCAAGGTTCTATAAATGAGGCCTGAGGAGTGAGCAGAGGTGTGTTGAGGCATAATGAAAACAAACCAGATTCACAATGAAAACACAAGAGTGATGATGTGAGACAGAAAGTAAGAAATATACATAAATCAGGAGTGAAAAGGAGGGAGGTAAAGACAAGAGAGAAAGCAAACATGCGGAAACTTTCCATTCTTTTCACAGGGAAATTCTGGATCCATTAGCAGGAAATGAATGTGCTTTGGCTTTACAGCTCAGTAAGAACCTGCTGGATTAAACTTTCATCCCTCCCTTCACAATTATAACTATGACTTTTGACTTCTGCTCTTTCAAACCCTGTAAATGTGCTCCATCAGACCTTAACAAGAATAAAAAGGGAGACGTCACAATAAGATCCGATGAAATCTCTATTGTTTGATTCATTCAGATAAAACCATTAGAGAGCATTTTAACATGTTATCTGCCTTAGGTTTTTCTAGACTGTACCCTTTCCCACCATTCACATATTAGTGCAGTTACCTGTCCAGCCTACCATCACCTTGGAAATATGAATCGCCTGCATCCTTCACTCTCTAACCATGTCACCACCATCTCAGTAAATAGTCTAAATAGTAATTGTCTAATCACATCACCCCGGTTATCCAGCAGCTTCATTGGCTGCTGATAAAGATCAGGATCACTTGCAAAATGATAACTTCTCACATTTAAGGCCATTCACACCCTTGCCCCCACTTACCTTTCTCCTACAAATATCCTCACCCTCCTGTATCCTCAGCTTCTATCAACCTGTACAAGCCCCTGGTCGACCTGTCATGGGAAGTCGAGCATCCAGTAGATCTGCACTGTCTCTTTGTTACTCTTTACCAGTGGGACTCAAGAACACCACATCTCTCCACAACTCTAACTTAAAACCCACCTGCTTAAAACTGCATATTCATTGTAATTCAGTTTGATTTAAAGTGTCTTTCCGGTGTTTTTTCCTTTCAGATATTGTGTATGATTTTCCAGAAATCTGTAAAAGTGATTATCGTATCATGTAATGGGCTATAATGTACGCCAGGGTTACTCAAATGTAATGGCCCGAGGGCCACTCAACAAAGCAACCTGGTAGCGCGAGGTTCTTGTGGTTCTACACACAACACACAAGCCTACAATATAATGAGACACCACTGCACACCTGTGTTGTCCCTACCCCTCCAGCTCATCTGTCAGACCGGAGAAGGGGGGTGCTGGTGGTTGATTACACAAGCCTACAATATAACAGCACAATGCATGCACACCGACGCCATTCCTACCTATACGTCTTGTTTTTTGCCAAGCTCGCCCCCTGCCCTGCAGAGCTCTGTGCAATAGGGAACTAAGCGCCGACCAGAACCAACCAATAGCTTTAGACTACCGCTTGCATGCTTCACATTTAAGGAATACCTCGGCTGATGCAGAGTTGATTAACTTTTCACGAACGAACGAAGTGTTTGAAATATAAACATTTGAGAACGTAGCATGACATGAGAATAATACTTGTAAAACAGCGGGTTTTAGCTCTGTTTGTAGGCTACAGAAGTGCATTTATAAACAAGAAACGTGAAGTCGCTATCTTAAAAAAACTGGTCGAGAGACAATTTGTGTGATATGCTTTCCACCACTAGATGGAGCTATCGGATAAAAAAATGTTATGGAAAGATACTTTGAGTGTCTCATTTAACTTCGGCTTTTATGTACTGTACTTAAACAGTACATGTTGTGATTCCCTTTCCTGTTTGGTTTTTGTAAAGGTGCCTTAAATAAAATGTTGCATTATTATTATTATTATTATTATTATTATTATTATTATTATTATTATTATTATTTGTCATGGCTGGAGAGTTTTTCTCACGTCTCATGGGAAGCTGGCGATGTGAATGCCAAACAAGCCAAATTCAGGGTCTTCGTTGAGGATTTGTCTTTCAAGAGTTACGACCAGAAGTTGTACGTGACTGTGAGCAGCGGAGGCCCTGTTGATGGACACCAATGGTAACAAAGGTCAACCAAGCTGTAGAAAGAGTTCTGTAGGGCTTGTTTGCCTCAGAGAACCCACGAAGCAGGTAGCAGGTACTGAAGTGCCAGAAGGACTGCAGCATCTTGGTTACTGATTCAAAAATGTGGGAGTGGGAAAATTGTGAAAAAGCTATAGGGTAATGACAGCTGACCCTGAAGGAGTTGTTGTTGGGTATGGGGTGTCGGGGTCACTTTTAATCAGCCACGTGGAAGAATTGGTCATCCTTCAGAAAAGGGCTGCCAGTGAGAGGAATACCTAACTTTAGCTCTTGGATTAGTGGCATAATATGGATGGATGGATGGATGGATGGATGGATGGATGGCTGGATGGATGGATGGATGGATGGATGGATGGATGGATGGAGGGATGGATGGATGGATGAATAAAAAGGTGATAGGGCCTGTTCTGTTTTAGCTACAATACTATGGAACGAGCTCCCACTTGTTGTCAAACAATCCCCATCACTGCAAGTCTTTAAGAGTCGTTTGAAAATGTATTTTTATCGTTTGGCTTTTATGTAATATGGATTTTTAGAATTTTTGTCTTTTCTCGTATCTGTTTTGTTATTTTAGTCACTCTTTTATGCAGTTTTAATCTGTCTTGTGGTCTCTTTGCTCTTTTGTTGTTTTTATGTTATGTTGGACGGATAGATGGATGGATGGTCTCAGCTTTGCAACATATAACCATGAAACGCATGCGTCTTTGGGGGACACCATCTTAGACGCCATGTCTACGGGAACCCGTGAGAACAAAACGCATTTACTGATTTCTAACAAACGGTTGCAAAACTTTCTCCATTCATAAACATTGTTTTACACATTTACCTCTGCTTGTTGTCAGTGATGACAGGGAGTCTGATGTGTTGTCGTTTTGCTGGAGGTTGAACAACGAAGTATTTGTTTGAAAATTGCACTCGAAAGGATTTTACCCTTGTGGCCATCCATTGGTAAGGTCTTACTCGAACACAAAAATACTGTTTGATTGCAAAAGTAAAAGTAAAACACTGGCATTGTAGCACCAACTCCTTCTGTCTGTCCACAGGGACAGACTGGAAGGCTCTGAGAGGGATACAAACAGTATGAGCTTTGTTTGGTCCATGCTGCCATTTGTAAGCCAAGCTAAACCAACTTTATTTATAAAGGACTTTAAAAACAGCCAACATCCTGGTTAACACGAGCAATCTCCTGCCCTGCCTGCCAGCGTCCAGCACCTCTGAATAACTCAGAGCAGTACAGTGGAGCTAGACCGTTTCATGATGGAAAGTCATGCAAAAGAAGCTTCAAATTAACTCCAAATAAATTAAATATAAATCAGGTTAAACCATGACCAAAGATTGATTTTTAAATTTTAACAATTATTTGTTTACTTTACTTTGGCAAATTATTTTAAAAAATCTAACTCAAATCTAATTTTATAAATATTTATGTCAGGAAAAGTAAAATTATCATAGAATTTAAAATCCAGATTCACTGGCCAAGAATGAGGAAGCTTAGAAGCAGGTCTCACTTGTGTTTGTATACACACTTTTCCAAAACAAATCCATCATCAACAAATAGATGCAGAATTAGGATTTGGATAATATTTACATGATGGAACATTTATGTTGTTTAACACTTTAAAGTTTATAACAGACACCAGAAATCAGACGCCAGGAGCTAAATTGTTCAAATCCTAGAGGATTTTTCTATTGGCCTGTTTTTTTCACTGACAAAAAGTGAAGAAGAAAAAGAAATAAACTCACAATAAAGAGCCGAGCCGCTGATCAACCTGTGTTTGGGGAAACTGCACCTGTTACTGTTACTCCTGCCCACTGGCAGATGTGGGTGTGTCTCAGGAAGGACATGTTTGAGATATGTAGGACAATGTCCTCGTGAGCAGCAGATTCAATCATCACTCTGTATTTTAAATATAATTGATAAGACCTTATAGATAGAATAATGTAATTAAGATAATTTTATTACCAA